TGGGTCCCAGGCGGTGGATATGCATGAATCCCCGCCTCGCGGGAGCCCGCCCGCCGTCGTGGGCAGACTTGGGGTCGAGGTCGAGCCCGATGTTGTGTCGCCTTCGTTTGTTGCCGAGAGATTTCCTCTCGTCCTCCTCCTCCTCCTTCTCCTCCTCCCTTCTCTTCCTCCTCCTCCTCCTCTTGCCTTCGACGATTCCCGGGCCCGGCAAGCCGCCCGTGCCCGAGGAGAAGAAGCGGGCGCGCTCAGAAACCGAGGCGGGCGCCGCGAGAGGCGGCCGCCGAATTCTCGTTCGTTTTTTTGTTCGAGGGGTTCGAGGGGTGTCCTCTCCAGGGCCCATGGGTTGCCTCGAGAAAGCGCGTGGAGGAGGAGGAGGAGGAGGAGGAGGAGGAGGAGGAGGAGGAGGAGGAAAAGCGTCTCCCACGGTTAGTCGGCTTCGCGCGCGGGGATATGTCTTCCAACCCGAGTGCAAGTTCCGTGGCAAACCCGGCGCTGTGTTCACTGCTCCTTCTGCTGCGCGTGGGAGCACGCGCGCGGTTCCGCTGGGCGAGAGGGGCTTCACCCTCGAGGCCTCTCGGGAAAAGACTGACAGATAAGAGAGGTGTAGAGAGAGAAAGAGAGAGAGAGAGAGAGAGAGAGAGAGAGAGAGAGAGAGAGATAGAGATCTAGAGAGACAGAGACAGAGAGAGTGGGGATACATACATATATATAGATATGTGTGTGTGTAGAGAGAGAGAGAGAGAGAGACAGAGAAATAAGGAAAGAAAGAAATAAAGAAAGAGGGAGGGAGGAGGCAGGAGAGGGGAGGGATAAGGGAGGAGGGAGAGGATGGAGAGGATATTGGACAGAGAGGCATAAGGATGAGGGAAGAGAGGGGGGAGAGGGAAGGGAGGAGAGGAGGGAGGAGGGAGGAGGGAGAGGGAGGAGGAGCAGGAAGGTAAGAGCGTGAACGTTCGAGGAAATCCTAGGCGGAAACGCCGTTCCTGAAGGAAGTCTCGGGCGGGCGCCCACGACGGGCGGGCGATCCCCTGACGGGCGGGTCGGGCGGGTGGGACATTCAAGCGGGATGCCTGAGTATGGCGAGAGCGCGATTATTGAGTACATTGTAACGGCGTCCTTGGCGCAGCGTGCTTCCTGAGCGTCGAAAGCGCGATGTCTGAATAAATTGTATGGAAGTCACAGGCGAGAGCGCAATTCCTGAGTAACATGTGAAGGGTTCTTTGGCGGGAGCGGGGGTCTTGATTCAATCGCGAGGAAGTCTCAAGCGGGAGCCCCGTTCAGGAGTGGATTGTGTGCAAGTCTCAGATGGGAGCGGGAGTCCTGACTAAACTGAGAGGAGGTTACAGGCGGGAGCGTCGATCCTGAGTAAATTGTGAGGAAGTCTCAGGAGCGGGGGTCCTAAGTAAATTTGGAGGAAGTCTTTGGCGGGAGCCGTTGTTGTTGTAATCCGTAGGGCCAGGGGCCCAGTTTGAGCGCGAAGACTTTCCCTGTCAAAAAACAGGGTGCGAGCGTCGAGGGGCACACTTTGATGGCGAAAAAACAGCATGCACCGGTGAGGGGGGATCAGCAATAATGATTCTTCATACATGAGAGCTCAACAACAATCATTTTAAGACTGTTCGCCCTTATCTGTTCGAGTGTCCAATAATGCTTATTTTTCAAACCCTCGATGCCCGCCCTCTTCGTCTTCGATCGAACCCCTTTTTGGGGGGTATATTTTTTTTCCTGCAGGCCGGGCCCCGGCAAGCGGCGGGGCGGCCGCGGACCGTCGGCCTGGCCAGCGGCAGCGCTGATCGGCGGGGCGGCCGCGGACCGTCGACCCGACCCCAAGAGGGACGGACAGGAGACCGACCACGACGACGACGTCGACGTCGACGACGACGTCGACGACGACGGCGACGACGACTACGACGGCGACGACGAGCGAAAGCGAGAGCGAGAGAGAACGACAGCAGGGCCACGAAGGACACAAAGTAGGCCACGAAGGGCGACAGCGGGGACACGAAGGGAATGCGTATGGGGCCACGAAAAACACGAACGAGCGGGGGCCACGAAGGGCAGAAAATGTGGGGCCACAGAAGGCAACGATGGGGCCACTGAGGGTAGTTAGAAATTAGGCCACGTAGGACAGTGAGGCCACAAACGGCGACAGCGGGGCCACGAAGGGCATGCGCATGGGGCCACAACGGGCGCGACTCCTGGGTGAGTGGGTGTCGGGAGCGCGGCGCTTGAGCAAATTGCAAGAAATTCCAACGCAAGGGCGCTATTCTTCAGTAAGTTGCAAGCAAGTCTCCAGCGAAAGCGCGACTCCAGAGCGCCGGGAGAGCGATTCCTTAATAAATTGTAAGGAAGTCCCAAGCGAAAGCGCGATTCTTGAGTAACATGCGAGGAAGTCTCGGGCGGGAGCGGGGGTCCTGGTTAAATTGTAAGGAAGTCTCAGGCGGGAGCCGTTCTTGTTGTTATCCGGGGGCCAGGGGCGCAGTTTGAGCATCAAGATTTCCCCCGTCAAAAAACAGGGTGCGAGCGTCGAAGGGCACACTTTGATTACGAAAAAACAGCATGCGCCGGTGAGGGGGATCAACAATAAGTATTTTTCAGAGATGAGAGTTCAACAGCAACAACAGCAGCAACAACAGTAACAACAACACCAACAACAGCAACAACAACGACAGTAACAACAGCAACACCAACAACAACAACAACAACAACAACGACAACAGTAACGCAACAAACCGAATTTCCACCACGAATTCCCTAGTCAGCCACGCGCCCAGGGACACTGAATGACCGTTCGGCCGCCCCTCACTTTGATATATATATATATATATATAGATATGTGTGTATATATAAATGTATACACATATGTATATGTACTACACACATGCTCACACATATACTCCCAAGCGGGTACGATCGAAGACGAAGACGGCGGATATCGAGGGTTCGGGATACACGTGTTAAATGGCCCGCGAACAGATGTGAGCGAACAGTCTTAAAATGATTGGTGTTGTTGGTGTTGTTGCTGCTGTTGTTATTGCTGCTTATGTTAGTATTGTATTTTGTAGTGTGGTGGGCAAGCGCTTGGCTTGGACACCCAAGACTTTCCCTTTTGAAAATAGGATACGAGCCCCCCGGGAGGGGCGTTTTAGTTTAAGAAACACGTCTGATACGGGAGAGGGGGATCAACGATATTATTTTGCATAAGTTAGAAATTAACAACAACGCAACAACAGCGACAGCATTAACCATCCCCGTGCGCCCACGGACGGTGTGAGACCGTTCGGCCTCCTCACTCCGATTTGTTCTTGCCGCGAATAGCTGGCATCATTTTGTCTCGATGCTGACCGTGGCCGCTTGCAGGGATCTCAGCTCCTATTCTCCGTGGGCCAGGGCAGTCGGCTGCCAGTTCCTGTCGTGTGGGGGAGGAGACGAGAACAATGGTGGAGGAGCAGAAGCGAGGGGGATAGGTGTCGAAGGAGGATGAGGGGAATGAGGAGGAGAAGAAGGAACGGGAGGAGAATAGGGGAGGAGGATACGGGAGGAGGATAGTGGAGGAAGATTAGGAGAGGGGGGGTGAGTGAAGGAGGGGGACGGGGAGGTGCAAGGCGAGGAGGTGGAGGAGGAGATATTGGGTGGTATTCGGATGTTTCTGGATGCGTTCGCAGGTTGACAGGGATTTTCAGAGGCTCTTTTTTCGGAGGAGGAGGAGGAGCAGGAGGAGGAGGAGGAGGAGAAGGAGGTGGAGGAGGAGGAGGAGGAGGAGGAGGAACAGGAGCAGGAGCAGGAGCAGGGGCAGGAGCAGGAGCAGGAACAGGAGCGTCAGGAGGGTCGCCGCCCCGCCAGCCCCAGACATGCCTGCCGGGCGTCGTGAGAAGCAAACTCGCAGCAGGGCTTCTCTCGGCTCCGTTTCGGGCCCACTTGGGGGCCTTCACGAAGCGAGCTCCGGCTCGAGAATGGTAGCAGACAGACGGGCTCGTTCTCGCCCCAGAGTGGGGGGGGGGGACATCTCCTCTAAGGGGAGGGGGGGCGCAGTTCCCAAGCCGTCAGGGTTCCCCCACGGACGTTTTTCTGCTCCTCCGCGGGCCCCAGTGGCCCGCAGAAGTTCTGGGGCACCTCTCGTCGGCGAGCGACGGGGGGGAGGCGAGGAGGAGAAGGCCTTCCCAGGAGGCGGCGGCGAGCGAAGGAGGGAAAGGGAGAGGGAGAAGCCCTCTCAGGAGGCGGCGGGGCCTCTCGGAAGCGCGCTCGGGCCTGCTGAGGAGTGTGCTCTGCGCCTCCGGGGGAGGTTTTTAGGATTAAGTCGGGCCTGTCCCTCTACAGGAGGAATATTCAAAGATAGCAAAACATCGTCAGGGGATGTTTTTCTGTTGTTGTAATTATTTTTCTCCATACACATATATATGTATATATATAAAAATAAATAAACACATCATGTTTGGGGTATTTTTATTGTTTCGCCCAAGAGCCGCCTGTATGGGGACATGCCCGACCTAGTTTCAGGAACTTGCTTAGACGGTCCGGGAGACTTCTGAGCCTTCCGAGGAAGCCTTCTTCTTCTCGCTTTTCCCTCCTGTCGCTCGCCGCCGAGCCTCAGGACCCTCATTGAAAGCGACGGACAATGTGCCCTTAGATTTACGATGCTCCAACCTACTACCTAGCCTTGACCGCCAGGAAGAAGGTCGAGCACCAAGAAAGTATCGAAACTGGAGGGCTTTCGCGTGTAGGCCCCAGAGAGGCGATACTCGTTCGACACTGTATCGGTACTTTTCTGGGTGCTCGGAAATTATTAATGGGACGTGGTCCTTCAGTACGATGGGAGCAACATAACCCTAGATATCTTATAGCACGATTTCTCTTGTCGTACGTTGCTGTCTTGAGCCGCACGAGTCTGCGGCAGAGGTGCCACTCTTTGGACTGCGCTGGTCGAGAGCCCCAGTCGTGATTTGTCACGGCGTGGAGGTACTCAGAGGAGGAAAAGGTACACATACCTCTACCCTTCCCTCGTCTTCCCCTTCTTGGGCCCCTGGGGGGCTCTCGTCGTCACCAGCCGATTCGCCTCTAGATTCTGATCAGAACGCACCCCAGGAGAGGTCCGGGGAGTAGCGGTTTGAGTACATTTTGGTTTCTCCACGTCCACAGCGGTAAAATGCCAAGGTCCCTGCCGCCGTTCCTCTACCGTCGACGTCGGCGTCGCCACCGCGCCGCCGCCGCAGGTCTGGCTGTAAACCCAAACGGTTGGAGACCGAGGTGGAGCCGCGGCCCTTCCGCCGGGCCTTGGGGGGTGGGCCGTGATGGCGGCCAGGGAGGGGAAGATGACGATCCAGTCTGCAGCGGTGAACCTGACGAAGAACCTCGTGGGCGCGGGCATCTTCAGCCTGCCGATGGCGCTGCGGCGGGGCTCGGTCCTGCCTGGGGTCGGCGTCATGGCCCTCGTTGGGGCCCTCTGCGGCAGCAGCTTCGTGCTCATCGCCTACATGTGCAGGGCGCTGGGCTGCAAGACGTACCGCGAGGTCTGGTGCGCTGGCTTCGGCCGGAACTCCGGGTGGGTGCCGGACGTGAGCATCCTGCTCAACGGCTTCTTCGCCTGCGTGGCGTACGTGATCCTGATCGTGGACTTCCTCCAGAAAGCGCTGGAGGGCCTGTTCGGCTGGGACGTCTCGCGCTCCACCCTGGTCTGGTCGAACACGATTCTGTTTCTTCTGCCGCTCGCGCATGCTCGGAACCTGTCCGCCCTAAAGTTCACGTCCATCATGGGCCTGGTCATCATAGGGTTGGTCTTCGCCTACATAGTCATGGACTTCCTCGGTGGGCTCGGGGCCAACATGGAGAACCTGCGGGGAGACCTGTTCCGGGTGGACATGGGTCTTTTCTCGACCGTGGCCATTTGCACCGGAGCTTTCAAGGCGCACTATAACGCTCCCAAGTTCTTCCGAGAGCTTGGCGAAGATTTGACAGCGCACTCGCAGGTGGTGATCATCTCGTATGGCGCGGCTTTCGCAATCTACGCCAGCTTCGCGTTGGCGGGCCTGGGGCTCTTCGGCGACAAGGTGCTTGGCAACCTGCTCAAGAACTACAGCGCAGAAGGGAACGTTCCGATCCTCCTGGCTTGGCTTGGCATGGCATTTGCCATAGTTTTTACTTACCCACTGGTGTTTTCTTCCGCGCGAGACTCCATCATCGGCATGTCCTCAGCGTTGCAGGCTGCCTCAAAGTCTCAGCCAGTAGCTACCCACGTTGGCATCACCAGCAGCATGGTGGTCCTCATCTCGATTTTGGCATGTTTCCTCGAGGACGTCTCCGTGGTGACGGGCCTGCTGGGGGCCACGATTGGATCTTGCCTGTGCTGGATTTTCCCAGCTCTCATCTACTTGAAGGTGTCGGGCGGACCCAATAAAGAGCTCAATGCGCCGCTGCTTCCAGGCGGGACCAAGAACGGGAAGCTCAAAGGCGACGGCGCTCTCAAGTGCTATTCCGCCATCCTCGTGCTGGTGGGTACAGCGTCCATGTGCATAGGGATCTGCAGTGTTTTCGGCTTGCTGTGAGTGAGGGTGCAGGATGTCGTTTAATGCAGTTTGGCAATGTATACTGCCACATTTGCAACATCACTCGCATGTAAGAGGTGTCTTTCTTCGTAAGGCCATCCACCAAACTATGCGTCGTAAACTGATGGACATGTACAGTTTCTCCTTGGCCAGTGACACCTCTCACGAAGAACCTCAGTCTTTATATACAGCCCGAAGTGCACACCAGTAAAACGAACGCTACCACCACTGTCCCTAGCGCCATCGCCACCACCAGCACATGCCTCCTTCCGTCGTTGCTCCTGAGCGAATGTCTATTCGCTTAAGCGAAGTGCGGACCACTCGGAGGAAGCAGCTTCATCAACCTTCCGACAACGACGAGTGCCCCGTATAAAGCATCATACCCACCCTTCCCCCCTGAGAGTTGATTTTCTCCGGCCAAGACAGAGTTGGTCGGTGGAGAGGGGTGGCGAGGCCGAACTTCATTATCGCGGTGGAAGGTTACACAGCGTCGTCGTCGTCGTCGTCGGCGTCGTCGTCGTCGTCGTCATACACAGCGAAGTTGCCATCTTATGTTGAGTCGCGACATCATCACAAACGTGTGGCATGTCTATGGGATTCTCACCATTTCAGCTTTCCCCAGTCGTCGTCGTCGGCGTCGTTACGCATCCCACGTGCGACTACCCCGGACATATCGTTTATTATCCCCCGGGACCCCGAATTCGATTACCCTTCGGTTGTTATTTTCAGGAGCATAGGGTTATAGAGGTGCGATTTTATCTTATGATGGATTCTGACGACCATGCTAACTGCGATGCTGACGATCGACGACGGTTGTATGAAGAGGTGCACAGGGTGTGTGTGTGTGGGGAGGTCCAGTTCGGGCTCAAACGTGAAGCCTGGGGTTTGGAGGGATTGCCGGCCGCGACCCCTTGAAAGGGCCTTCTGGGGATTCTGGGCCTGGATGGGTCTGTGACAGCACCAACTGGCAACCACAGAAACAAGCCATGCAAACCTGACGCGATACACCGCCCCGCGCCCCCAAAAAAAAATCAAAGCAGCAAAAAATACCCAATCGATCGGGAATCAAACCAAAAAAAAAAAAAACCATGGGCGACCACAATCAACACTCACAAAAAAATCATGAGATCGATCACTGACCGCCTATCGAACAAAACAAAAATAAAAAAAACATAAATGATACTGTTCACTTCGCCCCGACCAGAAAAACGAAAATGAAAAAAATGACTGTGATAATTGTCACCTCCTTCCGCCCAGAAAAACGAAAATGAAAAAAAACAACGGTGATAATGACCACCTCGTTCCGACCAGAAAAACGAAAATACAAAAACCACCAGTGATAATGGTCACATTGTTTCAGCCAGAAGGGCGAAACTGAAACAAAACAGCAGTACACGTGAAACACATTTTCAAACAAGAATGATCTCACTCACCCCACCACCCAGCCCCCAGGAAAAAAAACACAAAAAACGATGGACAACCCGCTCGGACAATTCAAAGAAAATTGAAAACATGAAACCCAAATAATGGGTGACCAGACGAAAATGAGACAAGTAAATGTGAAAAAGCTCTCGCCGCCCTCAGAAGAACAACCAACAAACAAACCAAGTATTATGTTATCAAACACATACATAACAAGAAACCTGTGAACGCACTTCTCTGCCCCCCATCAAAACATACACACACACACGCACACACACGCACACACACACACGCACACCGAAAACAAGATGGGCCAACGCGAGAAACAATACACAACATCAAGATAATACCACCTACCGCAGTCGCACACCACGTGACAAAAGCGAATCAGAGTGATTCGCCCACCCGCCCACCAACGGCCCCCCCTACACAAAACCAACAAACAAATAGTGATGTCCAGACGCAGCATCGAGCTACACAGTGACGACGCCCCCCCTCTCCCCTCCGCCCCTACAACACTTCCAGAACATGACAAACAATTGAGTACGATAACGCTAACCGTCACGCCTGAAAAAAATGAGAACACCCCCCGCCCTCACACCCCACCCCCACAACAGATCACAAATGCCAAGCGTGAGAACGTCCACGCCAACCATTCCCCAACGAACAAAGCATATCAGAGGGTGAGGATGTCCACCACAACCACCAACCTCACACATCAAAAAAAAACAGCACCACGAAGAATGCTGATGGCCCCCCCTCACCTGACCGCCAACAAAAAACAACACAACCATCCAAAGAGTGGTGATGCCCCCCCTGGAAATGCGAAGGGGAGGGGGGGGAGCGGGGAGCGTAAATAGTGCACTTGTCCTCTCACCCCGGAAGGCCCCCCACCCACTCCTTACCACTCAAGCAACAACGACATGACAACACCACCAACAAAAAACAATGGACTTCCTCTTCCTCCCACTCCTCACACGATGCGCCAGCACATCGATCGAACAGACCGTGCTAAAACGCACGCGATCGCTCCATAATATGGCGAGTGTACCTCCTCACTCCTCCTCCTCCTCGTCGCCCCCCTGCTCCTCCCATTCAGACCCCTCGCAGTGCGCATCTCTTCGCCGCGCCTCGCCGCACCTTCGTGGCCTTTTGGCTAAGGGTCGCGCCATAGCGCGCTGCGGCGCGCGGGCATGGACGCCGCAGCCCGCCTGCGGGCAGCGCTGGCGCCCTGGCAGCAGGTCGGCCCGGCTTCCTCCGCGCCCGTTCTCTGCGAGGCGGGGCGCCGTGCCGTCCTGGCGAGCTTTGGGGCCAGATGGGGCCGGTTGTTGCCTCAGTCTACGGTCACGGCAACAACTCCCTTCCGCCATCCTTCCCTCCCTCTCTGCTTACCCGTCCTTCCCCCTCACGGCCCTCAGTGCACCGGGAGAGGGCTTCACGGTGTTAGGCAATGTGGCTTGCCAATCTCTAAGGTTTGCTGACGTGCTCCAGGGATATCGTGCCCCCCGCCCTGGGTTCTATCACGTGGAGGGGGTGTGCGAGGTCGTGCGACGGCTTGGGCGCCGCGTCGAGGCGCGCGGCGCTGATGTGTGTACCCGACATCCCTTCTCCAGTTCCTCTTCTGGCTCCAGCTCCTGCTCCTCCCTCCTGCTTCTCCTCCTCCTCCTTCTCCTCCTCCGCCTCAGGCACCTCCAGCACCTCCAGCACCTCAGGCACCAGCCATCATCGTCGATTCTGGCAGCGAGGGAGAGGAGCAAGAAGAGGGCGGCGTTGGCGGCGAGGTCGTGGCCAGCCAACCCGTGGGCCCCGTCGGCGGTGCCCAGATTGTCGCCCTCGGGGCCCTCGAGACTAGGCTGTCCAGGCTGTCTAGGGACGAGTTGCTTCAGCTAGCAGTTCAACAGCAGCTTCAGCTTGACAGGCATTGAGATGCTCGTTCTGGGGACCTTCCTCCATCGTCGACCCTTCGTCGACTCGAGTCGAGAAGTGAGTCGAACTAAAAAAAACTAAGCTCGAACTATGGTCGAACTCGATTCGAACATAACCGTTAGGTGGACCCCAGGCAGGTCACCAAAACGAGCATCTAATTATCGTGTGGAATGTCGTGAGCTCAAGGGGAAAGTCAAACAGCTCGGGCAACAATTGCGTAGGCAGGGCAAGGCGAACCTACAGCGTGCTCGGAGGGCGAACAAGTTGGCCGTCATCAAGCCCTCCAAGCTGTGGCTTGACATTCGGCGCCGCAAGGCTAGCAGCGACCTCTCCTGGCTGTCGGTGCCGAGCTTACTGGCTACAGGTATCAGGCGCAACCTTGGAAATTGCAGCAGTCGTGGCTTCGGTTTAGCCTCTGGCTGTGCGGTTTCGAAGCAGGCCGTTTCGGGTAGCAACTACGTGGGGGGAGGTGGTGACCATTTATTCCAACCTCGCCCGCGGGGGAAACTGCGACGGTGGCCAGCGAGCCCCGCATCCAGGGCTTCCAGGCTTGATCGGGAAAACGGCGAGGTCGTTCGTAATAGTGTTTGGCACCTTTGCAGACGGTTTGCAGAGCCGAGCTGATGACCGATGCAGCGTCGGTGTGCCGTGCCCGGGCGTTCTACATGGAGCTGAGGCGCTCAACTGCTCTCGACTACACGGTGGGTGGGGTGGGCAGGTGGGCAGGGGCATGGAGGATTGAGGGAGGTGGTTGGACCAGCGGGAGTGGAGGGCAAGGCCGAAGATGTTCCGAGGATGGGGCATTGAGGTGAGCACGCCTGCTACATTGGACATTTCACGCATCTCCGCGGACACGATGGATGTGTCGGCCCTCATGAACGTGCCGAGCTTATCGGTTGGCGTCGGAGCCAGCGCTGTCGGTGAGGCTGGTTCCCCTGCAGGTGCAATGGTTCCCTGTATCGGCTCCCCTTGTAAGCCCCAGCATCGGGTCGACGTCGACCCAGTCACCACGCACTTCAACTGCATCCTACATACGATCAAATCGGACGCAGCCAACAGCAATTGTTGGCAAAAGCAAAAGGTCCGGGGTTGCAAAGTCGCCACCACGTACTTTGACATGTCCGCGCTCGGGCAAGAGATTTCTGATGAATTTCGGGTGGGCTGGTGGCACAGGTGCATCAGACAGCAAATCAAGACCTGCGACTTGACAGCAGTATGCGGGGGCACTGGCGAAGATGCACTGGCCATGATCGTGAAGCAGATCGGATCGATAGGTTGTCCTGTATGGTCTGACGTGATTCGCAGCATGGAGGTCGCCGCGGAGGCTGGCGACTTCCTCCACTTCAGGGATCAGGAGCGTTTTCGGGCATCCGCCTCTGGCCCTCCCAGCTGGCGCCCCAGACCCCCAGAATGGATGGATGGCGGATGGAGGACGGCTCATGAAATACAATGCCCGAACCGATGCGTCCCAGGTTGCTTCAGTTCCGCCCCGCCTCCTGGCCCCAAGATAGCCCGACGAGGAAGGCCCATGGAGGGCCAACCGGCGGGTGTTTGAAAATGTTCCAACAGCTTCATGGATACTTTCAGTGCACCGACGCCGGCCCCGACGAAGTGGCCGCAGGTAAACTATTGGGGACTATTTTACTGCCGCACTCCAAGATCCTCCACCACCGTGGGAATTGCCTTAAACACCAGGGGCACCTTGGCGTTAAAGGCGGCATGGAGGGGCTCGACGAGACCCTGAAGGAGTTAGACATAAAATGGAAATATTTCAGCACGCTGGACAGCTATACGTTCAAAGGGCAGGGATGCAGGAGGGAAGGAGGGATATGGAGTAGATGGAGCATTGAGAAACTGTGAGCCCTCGTGGGACTGGACTGGTCTCTGCGTTTCCGGTGGTTCTGTGTGACGGTTTGTTAGCCACATGGGCCCCGTGGGCTCAGCTGTTTGTGGGTGTGGGTGGGTGGGCCCTTCAGGCCAAGATGTGCAACCTCAGTCGGGACAAGGCGAGGGCCCTTCACCAGGTGTGGGTCGACGAGCACGGTGCCCCCGATGCAGTGTGCGTATCATGCATCAGCCCGAGGTGTCTCAGCGGGCGCTGGAACTCAGTGTCCACGGCTGAG